TAAAGTCAGCTCAAATRTTTAAACATCAAARTWCCTWTTTGTACACGTATATCTGAGTATTSTATTGAAAATTATCCTTTAGKAACAAAGGGATTGACTTTTGTGATCTGAATTGTGCAAAAAATCTTGTACTGATGTTCATCCCCCCAAGAAATAAATAAGTACTCATGTCATGAAGTATAACTTCTTTGCGGTGTTCTTTGCAGTGTTTTTTTAACCCCTTTGCATTAATTCTTGAAGTTCAATGAATTATCTAGACCAGATTGCATTTTAAAAATGTTTCAAAAATAACTGATTAAACATTGAAATATTCATTCAGTAATAAAATATGTTCCACATTCTTTGTGAGAAATAATTGGAATGTGTGTGTGTGTGTGTGTGTGTGTGTGTGTGTGTGTGTGTGTGTGTGTGTGTGTGTGTGTGTGTGTGTGTTTGAATCAGAAAGTGTTTCAAATCTACATCAGAAATCTTTTCAATAATTTATTTTGGAAGAATCTCTCCTGTTGACTGGTTAACATGCTTTAGCTTCTGACCATTTCAACAGCATTTAATCAACCAGCAGAGATTTGCTAGTATCAAATATGTATTTTTTTAGAATTCATTTATTTAAAACAGTGAGAATGTGCAAATAAAACATTAAAAGATGCTTTGCACCAGATTTAGCTTACGCTAATTTCCATCTGTAGTCCCATATAAAACTTATTGAACTTTTAGCAATTCTCTTTTTTTTGCACAACCCAATTGTTTTGGTTTATTCATGAAAAACATCAGTGAGGTGGTATTCTATGTTACATATCACCAAGAGATAGACTAATAATTAAAGTCAAACATTGTTGTGGTTTGCTGTAGGCAAGTGCATGATGAGTTGAAAAAATCAAATTGGTTTGGCCTAACGGATTCTTAAATATTTTTCTCATTAATAAGTTAAGCTTTTTTTCTGCAAATCATTCATAAATTTTAGGCTTGTTAGGTATAATTGTTATAAACAGCCATAAAAACAAGAAATATTGCC